ACTGTCACTTCAGCTTCGGGTGCCAAGTCTGGGGCAGAAGCAGGCAGTGTACCTGCACTGAAGCAGAAGCACACGAGCACACATGACTGTCATCAACTAACAGAGGAACCATCGGTGTCCACACTGAGAGAGGGAAAGAGGGGTCTGTTGATGGTATCAACTGGCACATGAGGACCCAAGACAAAATAGTCAACTGGCACCTCAGCTATGGGAGCTACACTGGGACCCAAGCAAGAAGGCCCAGAGGAGACATTCTCTGCCACCTCATGCGATTGCCTGTACCGGGTCAGGGACATGGGTGCCTGTGATACGAGGGTCTAATCCTCTCTACGTTCCCATCGTAAAACAGTCTCAGAGAAAAGTAAGGACTCACACAAGGCTGTGAGCAAGATGGCAACAATGTCCCCTGAAAACGACCAGTCTGGCAGATGCCCCAAGCCTGGCCGGCAGCCCAGGAGTGTGAGTGACTGAGAGCTCCCTCTAGGGGACATCACAACTATGAGCGTTGCAGGAGAGACCAGTGAGGAAGGCATGGCGCCCCAGGTTCAGTCCCCACAAATATGGGAGGGTTTGGCACGTGGTCACCATTATCTCCAAGACCAAACTCTGTAACAAAATACAAATACAAGAAAAAAAAAATCCGAATACTAACCTGCAGCTGCAGCAGCAGGGTCCTGAAACTAACTACCTTGATCTTTTTTTTTTTTAATACACATTTATGATTTCAGAGAGAAAGGAAGAGAGAGATAGAAACATCAATGATGAGAGAATCATTGATTGGCTGCCTCCTGCTGGGGATCCCCTACTGGGGATCGAGCCCACAATCCCGGCATTGCCCTTGACTGGAATCGAACCTGGGACCCTTCAGTCTGCAGGCTGATGCTCTATCCACTGAGCCATATCAGCTAGGGCTACCTTGATCTTGGGAGAGAGAGGGTGTTGTGTATGCCAGTGTAGAAGCTACTGGATTCTAACCAGAGATCTGGCACTGCCTAGCTGTATAAGCTTTCTCTGCATTTTGGAATGTCAGCTTCCCCGTAGTGAAGTCATGGGGTCAAAGGGCACGGATGTTTCTGTGGTTCCCATGCCACCCTGCTGCCCTCCAGAAGGAGTCCCGCTGACAGGGGTGGGCCCAGCTCTCCCAGTGCAGTGGGTGATCAGGTGCACTGGGTGGTGTCAGGGACTCCCTCCTGAGAGAGGCTAGCGGAGCAGGTATTCTCCCCTCCCATCATCAGAACGACATGGAAGACGGGGTGAACGCGCTGCCATCTAGAAATCAGACTGCGAGGAAAGGCATCAGAAGGCTGAGCCTCCTAGTCTCTGGTTCGTCGCATTCTGGTGTTTTCTCCTGCATCTTCTTCTGTACCTCCGTGTTTCTAAAAGGCACATATATCCACTTTAAAACAATTTCTAATTACGCTCCCAGATCCATCCGCTTCTCTCTAGGCCTCAGAAATCCGACCGGAGGGCGCCGGCGTAACCCCAGCACTCTAAGCCTGGGAAGCTGGAATCTCCCTGCGAACTGGCCTCCAACCGGAGACTTCTGGGGCGGGGCATACGTGGACAGGGGCGGGGCCGGATAGGGCTCCTCTCATTTGGCGACCAGTCAGCTCTTCCCAAGCACACGTCAGAGGCGGGCCGTTCTCACCCGGCGGCTGGAGCAAATGGAGGAGGAGGCCTGTGGGCGGGGCTTCTCCGGGCAGGGGCGGGGCCTCCGCTGCTTTCCACTCCCACCCTCCACCTGGCTGCGGAGCGGCAAGGCCCTCGCCCCAGGCGGGGGTGGTGCCTGCGGGCTGTGGCCCCGCCCCGGGCCGCCATTGCAAGGCCTTGTGGGGCTGTGTGTCCTCTGCTCTCGCTCTCTCCTTCCTTTGCCGAGCAGGGCGGCGCGGCCGGCCTGACAGGGTCACCCCCGACTGAGGTCGCATCTCCCCACAGCTAGGCAAGTCTCCGGCCGGCCCAGCCCGCGTCGCAGGCCCCCGGGCCCGGAGGGGCGGCCTGAGCTCGGGGCCTCCCAGGGGAGGGGCCTGCGTCCGAGAGAACCACTTTCATTTCCCAGTTCCAGAGGCTCCGCAGGCACGATCGACCTCGAGCCAACGCGTTTCCGAGACCCCTCCTGTCCCGACAGGGCTTCTCTCCGCGTTCCCCGGAGCCTGGCCAGGTGGATGAACAAGTCGGTGCACCGATCGCGCCTGTCCCGCCGCAGGAGCCCAGCTCTGGCTCATCCCTGACCCCCACCCAAACCTGCTCTTCTGCTTTGTTGCCTCCAGAGCGCACGGTCCCCAAACAGTTCACCTGCCGGCGGCCCCAACCCAGCGGGAGACGTGGACATGAGGTTGGCAGGTGGGTGGCTTCCACAGTGAACAGGAGGAAGTTGGAAAGGAGACCCGGCTGGCCCAGGTGTCCAGGGGACTGCAGCTGGAGGGGCCCAGGTGGACCGCTGGGTTTGCTTTTGCAAACGGAGGACTATGCACAAGCATTCATTCCAGGACCTTGAACAAATCCTTTCACTTGCGAGCATTTCAGCTCCCCGAGCTGTGAGATGAGGATTAGGATAGTGAATTTCTACCACCTCGGGCAACTGGTTGCTGTTCGGAAAACAAGTTGTGGGAGAGAGGCTCCTGGGAGCACAGAGACTGGGTGGAGAGGTAGTGGTCTTGAAGGAGAAACTGACCCAAGTGGCTGTGGGGTTGAATATGAACCTCTAGTGCTAGCCCTGCTGTCGGCTGGATAACGAAGGATGAACGTGGATTAGGGAGGGACCGCTTGGGGGAAAGCAGAACTCAAGAATTAGAGCTCATACCTGGTAAGGTTGCAACATTATGAATGCATTCCAGTGGAGTGAGCCAGTGGGGAACTGGCTGGGAGGGTGTAGCCTCAAGGCTGGGGCAAAAAAAAATAGAGTGCCTCTGCTCCCTGGGGAGTAGGTGAGAGCACCTATCAGGAGGGTAGAGGAAGAAGAGTAGAGTAGGCAGAGAAGACAGCCTGAGACAGAAGCCTGGGAAAGTCTAGATTTTTCAGGGGAGGGTAGAGGAGGAGGACAAAGCAATGAGGATGGGCCAGCGTGTGTTGTTCTGGAAGCCAGCAGGGAATTGTTTTCAGCAGGAGGGCCTGGGCAGTCAACTGAGAAGTCCAGAAAGATCAGGGCTGACAAGTGACCCGGGGAATTGACACCAAGAATGTCATAGGTGGCCTTGGAAACAAGTTGGGTTTGTTGTTGTTTTGGGTGTTGTTTTAAATATATTTTTATTGATTTCTGAGAGAGGAAGGGAGAGAGAGAGAGAGAAACATCAATGATGAGAAAGAGTCATTGATCAGCTGCCTCCTGCATGCCCCACACTGGGGATCGAGTCCACAACCCGAGCATGTGCGCTGATCGGGAATCAAACCGTGACCTCAGTGCTCAACCACTGAGCCACGCCAGCCGAGCTTTTTTTTGTTTGTTTTTGTTAAACCCAAGGATATTTTTTATAGTGGAAGGGAGGGATGGGGGGAGAGAGAGAGAGAGACATCAATTGGTTGCCTTTCTCCCCCACACACCGCAACCAGGACCAGGGATCAAGCCTGCAACCAAGGCACACACTCTTGATTGAAATCGAACCCAGGACCTTTCAGTCCGTGGGCCAACACTCTAACTACTGAGAAAAACCGGCTAGGGCAGGAGGAGAGATACTAAAAGTAGAAGAGAAAGACAGAGATGGGATGATTGCTATTACAAGAAACCTGAGCAGGGCCCTAGCCAGTTTGGCTCAGTGGACAGTGTCGGCCTGCGGACTGAAGAGTCCCGGGTTTGATACTGGTCAAGGGCACGTACCTGGGTTGCAGGCTCAATCCCCAGTGGGGGGCATGCAGGAGCCGGCCGATCTATGATTCTCTCTCATCGTTGATGGTTCTATCTCTCTTTCCCCCTCCCTTCCTCTCTGAAATCAATTTTTAAAAAAATTAAAAAAACAAAACAAGAAACCTGAGCAGCGAGGAGAGTTAGGGATCCACATCACAGCAGGTGAACGGTCTGGTCTTCAAAAGGACTAGGGACCTCCTCCTCCATCACAACAGGAGAAAAAGAGGATGTGATGGGTGATCACAGATATCGGCAGCCTCAGGCAGGAGGGTGGGTGCTCCTGGGGGAGTGTGAGAGCCCTCTTGAGCAGTGAGTTCTGGAAGGTCCCCACACCTGCCCTGGGGGAAACCAAGCTGAGAGCCTTGGAGCTGCCCCCCTCTGGCCGGTGGACGGCCACAGGTCTCCACCTTCCTGTCCTCCAGTCACTTCATCCCATGTGGATGGGGAGATCTGGTCGCGAGAGGCCCTGGGACCATTTGGAGCTCACTGGCATCTGAGGTGGCCTTGCCTTGTCTGTCCTGCCTCCAGGCCCCCTCCGCATCGTGGCCCTGATTGTGACCGTGGCTCTCACCTGGATCATAGTCAGCATCCTCCTGGGTGGGCCTGGCAGTGGCTTCTCTCGCATCCAGCAACTCTTCATCAGTGAGTGTGGGACTCTTCCTTGCCTGGCTACAGAGGTCCCCATGGTGGCCACCTGGGCCCCTGGGCTGAGGCTCAGGCTGGGGGTGGGAGGGGCCTGGATTTCCTTTCTCTTCCTCCGTCTGTCTCCTGGCATCCAGCACAGCCTTCTGGTTGGGAGGTTGCTTGGGCTGATTAGTTCTGAGCCCAGTTGGAGTGGGCGGGGCTTGAGTAAGGGGCAGAGGGACTTCCGCTGAACATTGGGGATGACTCCCTGGTTGCTCCCTGCCGACCTTCTGCTGAGCTCTGAGATGAGGAGGAGACTCTACACCTTGTCTCTAGTGACTTAAGTACTTTGTACAATTCCAACTTACCCTTTTCCTGGAGCAGGGAGCTTTGCATATGAACATCATTTAGACTTGAGCAAGAACATGCCAAGATCAGCCTGGCTTAGCCCTTGGCCTCTGAGCCTGCTGTTCCACCACCTTGACTGCATGGTATGGGGCCAGGCTGCCCTGCTGCAGGCCAGGAGGCCTCCACGCTAACAGAAACAACTCTCTCCCCACAGGCCCAGAGAATTCAGTGACGGCAGGTAAGGCTCCTGTCACCTCCCTGCCCCTCTTCTGGGCCTGCCCCTCCTCCTACTTATGTGATACCCCTGCCTGCCCCCAGCTTTCCAGGGTTTCTGGTCTCCACTTATCTCTCCCCAAACTGGCCAATACAGCCCGCTGAGCCGCTTGCATGCCGTGAACCTAGGAAACAAGTTCCCTGCTTCCAGAATACACTGGTGGGACAGGCATAGGATAGAAATTCCCATTCCAGCCTGGCCGGTGTGGTTCAGTGGTTGAGCATTGACCTATGAACCAGGAGGTCACAGTTCGATTCCTGGTCAGGGCTCCATTCCCAGTAGGGGACCTGCAGGAGGCAGCCGATCAATGATTCTCTCATATCATTGATATTTCTTTTTTAAAAAAAATATTTTTATTGATTTTTACAGAGAGGTAGGGAGAGGGATAGAGAGTTAGAAACATCGATGAGAGAGAAGTATCGATCAGCTGCCTCCTGCACACCCCCTACTGGGGATGTGCCTGCAACCAAGATACATGCCCTTGACCAGAATCGAACCTGGGACCCTTCAGTCCCCAGGCCGACGCTCTATCCAGTGAGCCAAACCAACTAGGGCACATCATTGATATTTCTATCTCTCTCTCACACTCTCCTTTCCTCTGTGAAATCAATAAAAAAACATTTTTTGGGGGGGGGACATAAATGTGTTTATTGGCAAGGTATAAAACCAATCCAGGAAAATAAAATTACCAGTTTAATAAAATGATTGCACACATTCTTTAAAAATTATTCTTACTCATTGACTTGGAAATAATTTCAAATCTATAGACAATTGGAAAAAATAGGACAAAGAATATTGTACCCAGCTTCACCTTTTGTTAATATTCTGCTGCTTTATTAAAAATATATTTTTAAAATGTCTTTTATGGGGACACAATACAGCCTGTGACAGAGGTTGTCCTTCTGTCCTTCCACCTCTGCCCCATGGGAATCAAGTGCTTTCTCTCTCTCTTTGTTCAAAAAACATATTTTTATTGATTTCAGAGAAGAAGGGAGAGGGAGAGAGAGAGAGAAAATCAGATGAGAGAGAATCATTGATAGGCTGCCTCCTGCACGCCCCACATTGGGGATCGAGCCCGAAACCCGGGCATGTGCCCTGACTAGGAATCAAATCATGACCCCCTGGTTCATAGGTCGACGCTCAACCAGTGAGCCACGCTGCTCTCTCAGTTACTGCTCTCCCTCAGTCTGTTCTGGCCGTACGCGCATCTGTACATTTGCCCTCCCAGCTGCTACTCCTTTCTCTTCTCCGATCAGTGGCAGAAAAGCCTCCCTAGAGGTCCCTGTCACCTTGCCTGCGGCCCAGGGGATACAGAATGTCTGGAGGTGTTCCTAGCCTGAGCCATGTCCTCTCCCCGAACTGGCCCCCTGCTCAGTCATCAGTCATTCCTCCCTATGGGCCGGTCCTGACCTCCCTCTCTCAGACTTCGGATGACCCAGGGCCAGGCCCATGGGTCACCCCTACTGTCCCTGCCCAGAGCCGCGGGCCAGGAAGTACAAGTGCGGCCTGCCCCAGCCATGTCCCGAGGAGCACCTGGCCTTCCGCGTGGTCAGCGGGGCTGCCAATGTCATCGGACCCAAGATCTGCCTGGAGGACAAGATGTGAGTTCCTTGGGGTGGAGGGGTGGGACGGGGGCGGGGGAGGGAATAGGTGATCGGGAGCTGGGCCTGCAGGGTCAGGAGAGTGGAGCAGACGTGCCACTTGAGGGCTGTCCCCTTGCTAGGCTCATGAGCAGTGTGAAGGACAACGTGGGTCGAGGACTGAACATTGCCCTGGTGAATGGTAAGTTCCCTCTGATGTGGGGTCAGAGTTTGGTTGAGGAAAGTGGAACCTTGCTGTGCTGTGACCTTCCCCACCCCCTCCCCTTCCCTTCCTTCCCCTCCCCTCAGAATTCCCAAGGAGGCGGGGAAGGGGTTTGTGCTAGCTGAAGGGTCCACAGATGTGACTCAATGAACAAAAGCATGGTGGTAGTAGAGCCCTGCCGGTGTGGCTCAGAGGTTGAGTAGTCAACCCATGAACCAGGAGATCACGGCTCGATTTCGATTCCCGGTCAGGGCACATGCCCTGGTTGCCGAATCGATCCCCAGTGTGGGGCACGCAGGAGGCAGCTGATCATGGATTCTCTCTCATCGATGATGTTTCTATCTCTCTCTCCCTCTCTGAAATCAAGAAAAAATATATGTATTTATTTTTTAAAAGGATGATAGTAGGAAAGAATTAGGAGTTTCCAGGAATTTGAAGGGCGCACCTGGAGGGCCTCAAATGCCAGGCAGAAGCTCTGCAGCCTTGGATGGGCCGCCGCTGTCTGAATAAGGGGCATAGTTGGCAGGAATATGGGGGCATATATATATTTTTTGCTTTTTAAAAAAAGTGTTTCCCTTTATTGATTTTTGAGAGATAGAAAGGGAGAGGGATAGAGAGAGAGAAACATCATCGATCGGCTGCCTCCTGCACGCCTCCTACTAGGGATCGAGCCCACAACCCGGGCATGTGCCCTGACCAAGAATCTAAATCAAACCATGACCTCCTAGTTCATGGGTCAACATTCAACCACTGAGCCACACCAGCCAGGCTGATATGGGGGGATATTTGAAAAGGTTCTAGAACAGTTGCACTCAGTGACCATGCCATGTGGTGAGCCTAGTCTGGGAGGACCGAGGTGGTAGGGTGGGTTTGCCCTGGTGGCTTGCCCAGGAAGACTCCATCCTCCCTGTTGATCCAGGGGTCAGCGGTGAACTCATCGAGGCCCGGGCCTTCGACATGTGGGCAGGAGGTGAGTGGCCGCCTGGCCTCCCAGTTTTGACTGTGCGGCAGAATGACTGGGTGTCCTTCCCCTAAACCAGTGGTTCTCCACCTTCTGGCCCTTTAAATACAGTTCCTCATGTTGTGACCCAACCATAAAATTATTTTCGTTGCTACTTCATCACTGTCATGTTGCTACTGTTATGAATCGTCATGTAAATATACGATATGCAGGGTGGTCTTAGGCGACCCCTGTGAAAGGGTCGTTCGACCGCCAAAGGGGTCGCGACCCACAGGTTGAGAACCACTGCAAACACTGCCCTTCGTCTGGCCATTCGCTGGGGGCTTCTCGAGCACTTCCTTGGGTTCGGAAAAGGCAGGGGCAGGGACAGGTGTGCGGCCATGGGGAGTGCCCTGGCTTCGTATACCAGTTTGTTCCTGTGACCCTTAGTGGGGTGTGTCCCTGGCCTGATTCCTACTTTAAGTGTCCTCATTCGGAGAATAGGGGTGGTGGGGGAGGGAAGCCCAGTGGTGCCTGATGCTCCGTGTTCCGTGGGATCTGTGCCCCCAGATGTCAACGATCTTCTGAAGTTTATTCGGCCACTGCATGAAGGCACCCTGGTGTTTGTGGCATCTTACGACGACCCCGCCACCAAGTAAGTGCTTGCCCGGGCCAGCCTCAGCCTTGCCCTCCTATGGCGACCACTCACACCTTCTCCTTCTGTGCGGCAGGATGAACGAAGAGACCAGGAAGCTTTTCAGCGATTTGGGCAGCAAGAATGTCAAGGACCTAGCCTTCCGGGACAGCTGGGTGTTTGTGGGGGCCAAGGGTGTGCAGAACAAGAGCCCCTTTGAGCAGGTACGGGGCGGTGGGGGAGGCTGGCAACTCCACTTCCCAGACCAGGGCAGCTGGCCCGGGCTTTCTGCCTGCATCTCATGAGGTCCCCTTCTGTTCATGCTGTAGCCTTCCCTAAATCCTGCCCCTACACCCCACCCGAGGCAACTCTGGCCCCCTCCCGTATGGATTTTACCCTAAAGGGTCTTTACTTTTATTTTTTCAAGTATTAATTTCTTGAAAAATTTTTATTTATTTTTATGTATTTCCGAGAGGAAGGGAGAGAGAGAGAGATAGAACCATCAATGATGAGAGAGAATCACTGATGGGCTGCCTCCTGCACGCCCCCCACCTGGGATCGAGCCCGCAACCCAGGCGTGTGCCCTGACCGGGAATCGCACCATGACTTCCTGGTTCATAGGTCGATGCTCACCCACTGAGCCTGCCGGCCAGGCCCTAAAGCAGTGATGGTGAACCTATAACATGCGTGTCAGAGGTGACACGCGAACTCATTTTTTTGGTTGATCTTTCTTTGTTAAATGGCATTTAAATATATAAAATAAACATCAAAAATATAAATCTTTGTTTTACTATGGTTGCAAAGATCAAAAAATTTCTATATGTGACACGGCACCAGAGTTAAGTTAGGGTTTTTCAAAATGCTGACACGCTGAGCTCAAAGGTTCGCCATCACTGCCCTAAAGGGTCTCCGAGTGTTACACACCGGCAACACTCACAAGTAAGAAACTCGCCTCCTAAACATCTTCAAGATGCTTGGTCCTCTCATCCTCCCGAAACCCAATACCCAGATTCACGCTGCAGGCCCTTCTGCACCAGCCTGGCTGCTGTCTGGCTCATGGCTCCTCTGGGGTCACCCGTGTCAGGCCCCATGCGAGGGGCTGGGAAGCCCCAGGTGCCATCCTCATTGTTGGGAAGCTCCCCGTTCTGTGAAAGCCATGGTGTCCCCAAGCCCTGCTCCCTACAGCAGGACTAAAGAAATAGCCTCCACTGATTTCTGGAAGCTTCTGGTTACCAAAAGAGCAGCTTAACAGCCCCCCCCCCCCCCCCCGCAAGAAGAAACACTCCCTCTGAGCTTGCTCTTCCTATAAGTTCCAGCAGCTCCTTGTGGGCTGGGCAGAGACAGGCATACAGACAGACCCCTTCCTTCCCTCCCCAGCATGTGCCAGGCCCACAGAGGTGCAGAGGAGTTGACCTCTCACTGCACCTGTGGAGGTCACGCCGGGGCAGCCAATGGCTATTTCTCCATGAGAAAGATCAAGGTGCCGGGACAGACAGAGGGAGCGGGTGCCCTGAGAGTGCACGGTTGGCTGACACTGGCCCATGGGCACTGCCAGTTCTTTCTCGGGTGCGTGAGGGCTGAGACGGTGACTCCCCACTCCCTTGACCCCGCAGCATGTGAAGAACAGCAGACACACCAACAAGTATGAAGGCTGGCCCGAGGCACTGGAGATGGAAGGCTGCATCCCAAAGAGAAGCACGGCCAGCTAGCCAGCCAAGCGACGACCAGGCCAAGGAGGCTGCGTGTGCCTGGCCCAGGAGGAGGCAGAAGTGGTGCCAGTGCAGGGCTGAGTCCCGACCCCACACCGGCCAGGAGTGCTCTCTTGTTCAACACATCAGGGCTCCGAGGCCGTGAGCGGTGACCCGTGTGTGACTGGTGGTGGGGACTGTGATGGCCAGTCTCATTGTACTTTGGCAGGGGAGCCCAGGTCCCCATCTCCTTTTCCTAAGGCTGCTTTCCCTAGTCAGCCCCCACCCACTTCCCAAGGCCCTGGGTGCTCGCCCCCTGGCTGCACAGCCACCTGGTTGGGCAACTTCCGGAACCTCTCCACCCAGAGCCGCTCACTGCTCTGCAGGCTAGTCCTGTTTCCCACGGGTTTCCTTCCGGTGAGCCACATCTGGTGGCCCATGGCAGGGACATACCTGGCTGCCTCCTGCCCCGCTCTCCGTAGGAAAGGGCCGCCATAGAGCCTGGCTGGCCAGGGCAGTAAGGTAGTGAGCCTGGTCACGGGCCCTGGTGCAGTGGGTGGCAGCTCCTGCAGTTTGTCACAGGACCCGGCTTCTAGATGACCTCTTAATAAATTGGTGCCCCACTGGAATGTGTGCACTCAACATGGAGTCGGGTGGTGTGGTCCTTGGGAGAGGGATATGGCCTGGAGGCCCAGCCAACCTACCCCCACAGCCTTAGCAGACAGCCTTTGTCTCCAGGACTCTGCCACGGACATGTCCTGCTGTCGCTGAGCTGGGACTCAGGTAGCAAGCAGAGCAGCTCGCCAGCTGGTAGCCCGTATCCTTGCCCAAAAGAGACAGTTCTGCTCTCTGGACAGGAAACCCACTAACTCCCTCACACACAGCACAGGCCTGTAGGAACACCCAATGGGGATTAAATCCTGCCCGGCCTCCCACTACACCCAGCCTCCCTGGGAGCTAGTGTGTGTGTCCCCAGCACTCAGCTTTGGATGCCTTTGAAATCAGGACTGCAAAGGGCAGAGTCATGTGGACTATTTATCATTTCTCACAGATTAGTTCTATTTCCCGTCATTGAACGAGAACCAGCAAGAAACTAGCAGGAGTTTTGCTGGAATACCACATTGTCGGGGCGGGGGGCAGGGGGACGCAGGTACTATGGTATGGAGTCAGAAAAGGGAGAGAAGTCACTGCCCTAGCCAGTTTGGCTCAGTGGATAGAGCATTGGCCTGCAGACTGAAAGGTCATGGGTTCAATTCTGGTCAGGGCATGTATCTCAGTTGTAGGCTCAATCCCTGGCCCTGGTCAGGGTGCATACAGGAGGCAACCAATCAGTGTATCTCAATAGATGTCTCTCTCTCACATCAATGTTTCTCTCTCTCTCCCCCCTCCCTTCCACTCTCTCTAAAAATCAATGGAAAAATATCGTCAGGTGAGGATTAACAAAAAAAAAAAAAGAAAAGAAGGCAGTTTAGACTTTCTAAATGGGAGGAATTGGGGCACCAGCCAGGCAGCCACGAGGGGTCCATGGTGGGGGTGATGGACTTACGAGTCCTGTTCTGGAGGTGGGCTTCCTGAGCCTCTGCCTTTTAGGAGTTCAGTGTGGCCAGAGTGCGAGCGAGATGTTAAGAAATGAAAGATTTAAAGAGCAGGCCAAAGAGGAGTGAGGGGGGCATGAAGGAGAGGCCTTGGTTGTGATGCCAGGACTTGAAGGGCCAGGGAAGTTGAGACCCAAGGAGGGCCTAGATTGCTTGCCCAGGAGATGCTGATCATGGAAGCTGACACCCAGCCTGGCCCTGTGTCAAGCACTGTACATGTATCCCATTTTTTTATAGACTTTTTTTACTTTTTTTTTTTTTTTTTTTGCTAATCCTCACCTGAGGATATTTTTTCTTTTCTTTTTCTTTTTCTTTCTTTTCTTTTTTTTTTTAGAGATAGTAGAAGGGAGGGAAGGAGTGAGGGGGAGAGAAAAAACATTGATGTGAGAGGAACACATCAACTGGTTGTCTCACCAACTGGGGCTGGGGATCAAACCTGCAACCTAGGTACGTTCCCTTGACCAGCAACCAAACCCATGACCCTTCAGTCCATGGGCCAACGCTCTAACCACTGAGCTAAACAAGCCAGGGCTAGACTTTCCTTTTTAGGGTTTTTTTTTTTCACACCAAGCTGCTTTCACTTTATTATTCTATTTATACACTCTCCTGCTCCCCGATTTGGAAGCAGACCATGATGTAAGCTTGGCAGTCCTGCTCAGATCCTTTACCAGAATCTATCAGTTTGCCTTTCTCCATCCCCCACCCACCCCAACTCAGGCTCCTGTCCAGTTGTCCTGAGGGTAAGAGAACAGATAGAAGACTGAGCTGACTCTCCCCAGCCCCCTGCCCCAGCTATGAGAGAGCAGGCCTAGATAGAAAGGACGGAGATTCCAGTGAAGGACAAGGCACGGGCCACCTCAGCGTGGCCACTGGTTTGTTCACATTTGGGTAGTGTGCTGGCCTGGAGCTGGGGGTGGCAGTGCTTCCAACTGACTGAGGAGGAATGGAATATAAGGGCGCTGCAGGGGGTCCACAGTCATCATCGAGGCCAGCAGCTGCCACAATGCTGAAGAATGCTTGGGGCTTTGTGGGATGCTGAGTTGGTTCTGTACAGCCAGGGCCACACTGTCACCCTTCTGGAACACCATGTCATAAGGGCCTTCCCCAAACTTCATAGCATATAGCACACAGCCTAGGGACTGCAGGGCCAGAGCTTGGCGGGAGCTCTCCACATGGATGCGTGCTTGCTTCATGGAACCCAAGTCCATTAAAACCGGCTGCCCCTCATCTCCAAGCAATATATTGGTGGGCTTCAGATCCCTGTGGGCATAACCCTGGGCATGAATGGCTTCAAGTCCTCTGCAGATGCCCAGCAACAGCTGAAGGATTTCATCTTCAGTCAAAAAGTTGCCTTTGTCTTTCAGCCTTTCTATCTCATTCCACAGCGTACCTCTCTTCAAGTAAGGTAGTAGCAGCCAGGCCTCATGTTTTGTGCCCCGCTCCTTCAGACAATAAGCCACGAGGTGAAGGATGTTGGGGTGATTGAAGAGGTGATGCATATCTGCTTCTCGCTGGGCCTCCTCCACATCCTGCTGCTCATGACACAGGATTCACTTCAGTGCGTAGAAGTGTCCATCATGTAACCCCTCCACTAGGTCCACATAGCTGAACCCACCCTCCCCCAGTTTCTTATTGTCAATGATGACAGTTCCCGGAGAGCAGATACACAAGCGCGTGGCCCATAGTGTCTCAGTCATCCTCCTCCGGGGCGGCCTGAGGTGCCAAAAGGTTCGTCCAGGTTGAGTGGGCTCTTCAGGGCGACGCGCTGGGGGCCCAGCGGGTCATGCTGGCTTGGGCAGCAGGGAAGCTCCAAGCTCCTTTTTAGGGTTTTAGGTTCACAGCAAAGTTGAGCAGAAAGTACAGTGAGCCCTGGCTGGTGTGGCTCAGTGGAAGAGCACTGGCCCAGGCACCAAAGGGTCACGGGTTCGATTCCTGGTCAAGAGCACATACCTTGATTGCAGGTTCGATCCCCAGCCCCGGTTTGGGGTGGTGTGGGAGGAAATCACTGTGTCTCTCTCACATTGATGTTTCTGTCTTCCCCCTCCTTCCCACTCTCTGAAAAGCAATGGAAAAAATATACTCGGGTGAGGATTAACAACAAAAAAGTACAGAGAGTTACTACATACATCATCATCACCCAAAGCCCACAGTTGACATTAAGGTTCCCTCTTGTGTGGTAGTCTGCGGGTTTGACAAATATATAATGATGTGTAGCTACCATTATAGTATCATACATGTATTCATTTTTTAATACATTTTATTGATTTTTTACAGAGAGGAAGGGAGAGGGATAGAGAGTTAGAAACATCGATGAGAGAGAAACATCGATCAGCTGCCTCCTGCACCCCCCCCCACCGGGGATGCGCCCGCAACCAAGGTACATGCCCTTGACTGGAATTGAACCTGGGACCCTTCAGTCCGCAGGCTGACCCTCTATCCAATGAACCAAACCGGTTAGGGCCATGTATTCATTTTTAAACCTTTAATTGGGGAAATTTTCAAAAGTCCCCCAAAGTAGACAGAATACTGTAAATAAGCCTCAATATACCCATTGGGGCTACCACAGTGATAAAATGAAAGGGAACCTCACTGAAGGTCTGTACTGCAAGGCTGGGTGGCTGGGAGGCCCCACCATGCCTCTCGAACAACTGCTGTGACTGCCAACCTTCCCCAAACATTCACCAAATGTCTGTGAGATTGAGCCCCAGTGACAGCTCCTAACTTCTCAGGGGCCTGTGCCCTCCCTGGGGGTCACCAGAGTCACACAGATGGAAGTAGCAGGCCAGCTTTGTCCCCCACTTGGCCTCATGCAGGCTAGAAGCTGATGACAGTGTGGAGTGCAGCTGCCCACCTTTCCAAAGTGGAGGTCAAACTTTATCCTGCAGTCCTCCTCTGCCAGGATGTCCCCCACCCCGCCCAGAGCCCTCCCCTTTAGGCGTTACAACATCCTCGGTTACAAGTACCAGAATCCCAACTCAAACTGGCATAAGCAAAAAATAAGTAATGAGCCTGGCTAGCGTGGTTCAGTGGTTGAGCATCAACCCATGAACCAGAAGGTCACGATTCGATTTCCAGTCAGGGCACATGACTGGGTTGCAGGCTCCATCCCTAGTGGAGCATGTGCAGGAGGCGGCTGATCGATGTTTCTATCTATATCACTCTCCCTTCCTATCTAAAATCAATAAAAACATATTTTAAAAAATAAGTAAATAGCCCTGGCTGGGTAGCTCAATTGGTTAGAGCATCATCCTGATATGCCAAAGTTGCAGGTTCGATCCCCACTCAGGGCACACACGAGAAACAACCAATCCTATATAATAAAAGGCCAATATGTAAATCAACCAAATGGTGGAACAACTGGTCGCTATGACACACACTGACCACCAGGGGGAAGATGGTCAAAGCAGGAGCTGTCCCCTGGTGGTTAGTGTACTCCCACAGGGGGAGCACCGCTCAGCCAGAAGCCCTGAGCCAGGCTCACAGCTGGCAAGCACAGCAGCCATGGTGGGAGCCTCTCCCGCCTCTGCGGCAGCGCTAAGGATGTCCAACTGCCGGCTTAGGTCCACTCCCTGTCAGTTGGACATCCCCCAAGGGCTCCTGGACTGCGAGAGGGCGCAGGCCAGTCTGAGGGACGCCCCCCTCCACCAGTCCACGAATTTCGTGCACTGGGCCTCTAGTAAATACATAAATAAGTGGAACAACAAATATCTCTCTCTCTCAATCAATCAAAAAAAATTTTTAAAGTAATAACAGGAGGGGGACTTATTATTCCTGTAATGGACCCCAAAGCCCACAGGTGATACCAGCTCTAATAAAGTCACCAGGCCCTGGCCGGTTTGGCTCAGTGGATAGAGCATCCGCCTGAGGACTCAAGGGTCCCGGGTTCGATTCCGGTCAAGGGCATATACCCTGGTTGCGGGCACATCCCCAGTGGGGGGCGTGCAGGAGGCAGCTGATCGATCTCTCTCATCGATGTTTCTAACTCTCTATCCCTCTTCCTTCTTCTCTGTAAAAAATCAATAAAATATATTAAAAAAAAAAAAAAAAGTCACC